AAATACAAATGGCCATGCAAGTCTTCAGGGGAAAATGGCACCACAGAAAGAAAACTAATATCCAGAGCCAAGACACAGGAGATGGAAGAGTTTTTCTTCCTATCAGACACAGAATTTAAAAGTACATAAGAAAACTAAATAATTGGAACAATAAAATGGAAACTCAGAAAAACAGTTTAGAAATTTAAGATAATCTAGAAATGCAAATTAATGTCATGAGAAACACAATGAACAGAAGATCAAAATTAAAACTCTAAAAAGAAAATACAGAAATGCAAAAAGTAAAGAGAGCAATGGGGGAGATAAAAAATTCTGGAGAAACCAAGGAAAAATGACAAACCTAATGGAAGAATGAATCAGTGAGTTCAAAGACGCAAATGAGGAAAGAACAAAATAGATAAAGTGAACTAAAAGAGAAAAATGAGAATTCAAAGAATATAAACATCAAAATGATAGGCATAACAGGAGAGAGAGAACCGAAAATGAAAAACTATTTAAAGAAATAATATAACACTTCCACAACTTGAAGAGTGAATTGAACATGCAAATACAGGAATATGAAGAAAATCAAGCTACTAGAGGAAAGGAAACCTATAGTCAGACAGAGTAGTATAAACTTACCAGAGTTCAAGATAAAGAAAAAATAGTTAAGCTGACAAGGGAAAAGAAACAGATATAAAGGAACCCTGAGTAGGCTAACACCAGACTCTCCAAAAAACACTGTAGGCAACAAGAGAATGGAGTGACATATTCAAACACACCCAGATAAAATTTGCCGAAAGAAAACTCCTTCCTGCAAAGATAGAGAGAGAAATAAAGACCTTCTCAGACAAACACAATCTCAAGGAGTTTGCAGTCTTTACCTCCCCTTCTCCAAGAAGTATTAAAAGGAATTTTTGTATTTAAATGAAAGAGATGGGGCCTCCCCTGTGGCACAGATTGTTGAGTACAGTGCTGTGAAGAAGTCCACAGCCTCTGCAGTGTGGCTTCAATCCCGTCCAGCCAGGGAGACCCACATGGTGCGGCAGACCTCTCCTGTCTTGCCTGTTCTCCCCTCAGCAGTGTATTTCAGTAGATCTGCCTGTTCTGTTCCCCACTCTGTCTCTGGTGAATCCTCTCACCCTCCCGCACATCTGGCCTGTACACCAGTTCTTGTATGCATGAATAAATAAATCTTAAAAAATAAAAATAAATAAATGAAAGAGAGGAACAAAAACTGAAACAGCAATTAAATAGAATTAAAACAAAACAAACAAAAAAATAAGTATGACGGCTATATCAAATATCAATGTGCTGAACTGGCAAAATAAAAGCTATACAGTATGAAGTTGGAACTGGAAACAGAATCCAACCTTCTGCTGCTAACACACCCAAATCCCAATGATAAACATAGACTGAAAGACAAGGAAAGTAAAATATTCTACAAGCAAATGACACCCTAAGTAAAGCTAGGACAGAGATATGAAATCAAATAGGCTTCCAACTTTAAAAGGTATCAAGAGGCAGAAATGGACAATAATGACTAAAGAAACAATACAACAGGAAGATATAACATTCATCAATATATACTCAACAGAAGAGCACCAAAATACATTAGACAACTAATTTCTAATCAGAAAACAGACACTGGAGAAAATACATATGACCTTGCAGACTCTAATATCCCACACTCACCAATGGACAAAACAATCAGACACAAAATATATAAGGACACAATTATCCTAAACAAAGGAATAGACCACATGGGATTAATAGACATACATAGGGTACTGCACCCCCCAAACACACATAGACAAAAGCCAAATACACATTTGTCTCAAGTGTACGAGGATCATTCTTTTTATTTATTTTTTTTATACAAGCACTGGGTACAGTCAGAATTACCGGAGGGTGAGAGAATTCACCAGAGCAAAAGCGGGGAACAGAACAGGCGGACTGACGAAATGCACTACTGAGGGGAGCAGCAGGCATGACAGTAGAGTTCTGCTGCACCATGTGGGATTCTCACTGGCCATGCTGCAGAGTCTGCAGGCAGCTTCACCATGTGGCACTCAACCACCTGTGCCCCCAGGGAGGTCCTGTATAAGGATCATTGTTCATGATTGACCACATACTGAGTGACACAACAAATGTCAATGAATTTTGGGAGATTCAATCATACCAAGTATCTTCTCTGACCATAAAGATATTGAATTAGAAATCAACTACAAAAAGAAAACAAAGTCTCTAATACAAGGAGCTGAAAATGCACTACTGAGAAGTCACTGGATTAATAAGAAAATCAAGAAAGAAAACAAAACTTAATTTAAGATAAATAATAGTGGGGACACAACCTTCCAGAATACGTGGGACACCTCAAAAGCAGTACCAAGAGGGAATTTTATAGCAATACAGGCCCACATCAAGAAACAAGAAAGAGGCCAAACTAAAGAACTTGTGCCTAATCTCAAGGAACTTGAAAAAGAAGAGCAACAAATTTTAAAAGTCAGTAGAAGGAAAGTAATAATAAAATTCAGAGCAGAAATAAATGAAATAGAAAGGAAAAAGACAGTTTAAAAGACCAATATGAACATTAACTCGTTCTTTGAAAAAAAATGTATAAATTCAACAATCTAAATGAGATGGATAGAATTTTAGATATTAGAGAATTATCCATGACTATATAGGGAAGAAATAGAAAAACCCAAACTAATCAATCACAAGCAAGGAAATTGAAAAAGTCACCAAATTGTCCCAGAAAACAAAAGTCCAGGACCAAATGACTTCTCCGGTGAGTTCTACAAAATGTTCAAAGATGAATTCCTGTACTGCTAAAATTCTTCCAAAAATTGAGAAAGAAGGCATATGTCCAGATAGATTTTATGAGGTCCACATGACACTAATACCAAAAGCAAACATGAACACAAAGAAAGAAGAGACAGTGCACCTAATAAACACAGATGCAGAAATCCTCAATAAAAGCTTAATGAACCAAATCCAACAATGCAATGAAAAGCTGACACAACATGACCAAGTGGGATTTAAACCAGTACCTGAGAATGGCTCAGGATCTGGAAATCCATCAATGAAACTCACCCAATTGATAAAAAGGAAAGTGAAAGCCATGCCGTCCTATCAACTGAGGCTGAGTAAACATCTGACACATTCAGCATCCATGTATGATGAAACCCTTGGCAAACTGAGTGTACATGGCACACACCTCACTATCATAAGAGCCGCAGAGGACAAGTCCACAAGGAGGGTTGCACTGGCAGCCTGGGGTTCAGGGACCTGTCACCAGCGAATGCTAGTAAAGCAGAGCCGGGAGCGGAGTCTTTAAACTGTGCTTCAATGAGGCAGCTGCAACCTGGAACTTGGGGAATGAACACCCTGAAGAAACCGCCTTAACATTCCATTTCCAGCTGCCTTTTTATAGCGGTGGTCCGGGGGCGCAGCGGGGGTTGGGGTTGTGTGTGCGTGGCAGCCTCCACGTGACCCCTCCCGTGGTCCTAATCCGTGGTTCCACTTCTGTTTCTCAGCACAGTCCACCCCCGAATCGTGTATCAAGGGTCCAGCTGCTGAGGGCAC